TGTACAGAAAGCTTTTATGCTCGTCGCTCGTGATGTTCTGCAGAATCGTACCTGCTACGATTCCCATTGAGATTTGTTTCACTTCACCTCCAGACCGTCAGAGTGCAGTTATATGTAGAGAAACAAGTCTGGGGACGCTTAGACTAACCTCTGCTATAACTCCAACTGCCGAGAGAATGATACTCGCCAAGCCGCAGTTAGCCACTGTCGGCAGGCGCTGTGTCAGCCTCGTGTCACAAGCTTCAGTGAGCAGCCTGCACAAAGATGTCACTTTGACTGCTAGCTCTCTCACTGCAGTCTGGTGTATGATGTTACGACTCCCAGATGTTTCGCCCAGTCGTCTCTGCCACGACTCGCTCCACAACTCGCTCCACGCTCGCCGGCAGTGACAGCCCAGCGACAGTACCAGTCGAGAAGTGTCCTCCTGAGTTGCTTGCCAGAAGTCCTGCCCAGTTGCCGAGTTTTGTCGATGCCTCACTCGAGGGCACCAGCATGTCATGCCCAGGTTGAGTGAAAACCTGCAGCGACTCCTACGATGACTGCTTCACCGTTCCAGAGGAGACCGTACCCTGTTACGTCACAGCTCAACCGCAGCGATGTCTCCTGTGCTGCAGTATCTGTCCAGACGCAGGAAGGCGTGCAGTGATGCCCTTCGACGCTCACTGCCTATGACCACGATGTTTAGCACACCCCACATGTTTTTTCTTCCCTCCCTGTAGGAAGTTTTTTTTCCATGTCCATATGTATATACATGTATATGTTTTTATTTTGTGTTCTGTGCCCTGTTCCTACGAGAGAGAGACAGAGTTCCTTTTACCACCAGTATTGTCGCGTCGGGACGACGCGAGGTAGGTGGCCGAGCGTATGTCGACAGCCTGTACTGTCTGCACAGACAGCCCATGCTGTCTGCCAGCTTAGTTCATATTTCGCGCCACTCAGATGCTGCCCTCTGTAGCCAGGCCTCTCGGTGGGTACGCAAGCCTGTCGGCCCATGCCTCGCTCTCACTCACACAGCGGCCTAGCAGGAAGACACAAGTACTAGTAGCTCTCTCTCGTGGGATGGCCCTACCCGGGCCATGGGCAAAACACACAAGCCTGTGTACCCACCACGACCTTTCAATAAACTAAGAAGCCTCCGAAGACGTATCATTTACTTCCCGCTACCAGAATACCAAATAATCCTTTTTATACTTTGCCAAGACAGTAATTATGTATGAATGATGGTGAAAGTTTTGAATGAAGATGATTTTTTTTTTCTTTCTTTTTGGGTCACCCTGCCTCAGTGGGAAACAACTGACGTGTTAAAAAAAAAAAATACTTTATTTCATCCTTTGCCCCTAATGAGTTTTCCATGCACCATGTAACCCCCCCCCCCCCAAAAAAATACAAGTGATACTAAATGTCAGAAACTGACAAAGTAAAAATATGTAACGATACTGAAGATAAAAGCAAGAGAAGAAATTATCAGCTCACCCTTCACACTTCCTCGCCCACACTGCTTCCTACAATACACAGTTTTTTCCCTTGCTCTGTCAATCTCATTGTCTCTCAAATTTCTTCTCTCTGGTGTTCATAGCAGCAGCTATTAATAATATTACGAGTCTTATATACAACCATTCTTGATAAATAAATGGAATCTATAGGAATATCTAGTTAGACATGGTGACCAACATTACCATCAACTATATCAGTAGTACCACCACATTCTAACTCCTTTCTCTACACATTATGATGTATGCACAAGAACACTCTTATGTAGCTTATTTAAGGGAGGGAGGTAGTCAGCAGTGATGTATTAATTGCCACATTCATTAAAACCCCCTTCCTCTGCTTCAGTGCTCATAAGTACTTTTGATGGCTTTTTTTCTTCTTAACCCTTTCAGGGTCCGTCCCGTAGATCTACGGCTGGTCGGTGAGTGTCCAAACCGTAGATCTACGCCAAAATTCTAGCGCCGTCAAATTTAGCGCGAAAGCGCTCATAGGCCTACATATGAGAGAATGGGTCTGCGCCGTGGGTGTGCGCCGTAAACAAAAAATCTAGGCGCCTGCATAGCATTGTGGGAACGCCGGCTCAGTCACCCTTGTTCACCATGCCTCGTCGCAAGTCAGCTCTCACTCCCCAGAAAATTGGGACTCTCCTCTTCCTGTCTGATAGTTCTGACACTGATGGAAGTGGAAATGAAGACGAATTCTACAGCTTTGATAAGTTAGTGACCGAAAATAATGACCAGGATATCGATAATAGTGCAGAAAACCCCGACGATCCTCGACCTTCTACCTCTGGTGTGGGCACTCGTGACTCACGGTCGGGTGTTCCTAAACGTAAGAGAAAACTAATATTTTCCCGTGGCCTGGCCTCTGACTTCAGTAATGACGATGATTCTGACGTGGATTGTGATTTTATTGCGCTCGACGATCATTCGAGTAGTGATAGTGAGGAAACATATTCACCAGTGAAGCATCGGTATGTTCGCCGCCGCATGCGCTCGGGTAGTGTACCCTATGCTGTGCCCAGGGGACGGAGTACATCCCGGAGTACATCCCGTGGCCCTACACCCGTTTTAGGTAGTGATAGTGAGGATGATGTGGCTACACTTGGCATGGATGGGCCACAGACATCAGTGGATGGTGTTAGTGGGGCTGGTGGTGGTAGTGGCACCGCCATGCGTGACTCGCTGTGCCACGCGGGGACCCACGCTGCTGACTCGTCAGTTCAAGGACAAAGCGGAGCGTCACCCACCAGCCCGCCACAACCACCCGTACAACCAGCCTATGATGTCCAGTATCCACCAGCAAACCGTATCTGGGATTGGCAGTAAAATCCCAATTTTGTTCCCAGCCCTCACCACTTTGATGACTCTCAAAGTGGAATTCTACCTACCTGTCCCCTTGGAACCACGGCCAATGAACTGGAATTCTTTGAATTATTCTTTGACCAGCCATTGATGGAAATTATTGTCAGGGAAAGTAATAAGTATTTTCAGTACACCATGGCAAATACGATCTTATCACCACAGTCAAGACTAACCAGGTGGAAAGAGACGACTGTTGCAGAAATGTATTTGCTTTTTGCAACAATAATGCTTATGCCTCACGTCTATAAGCATAATATAAAAGCATACTGGTCCACAGATCGGCTAATTTGTACCCCATCCTTCAGTGAAATAATACCAGTGAACAGGTTTATCTTACTGTTACGTATGTTGCACTTCTCTGACAAAACCAGGCCTGACAGAAGTGACAGGTTATACAAGATTAGAAATGTTTTCATGTATCTCAAACAAAAGTTCAGGATATACTTTTATCCATTCAAGAATCTTGTAATTGACGAGTCTTTGATTTTGTTCAAAGGTAGACTGTCATTCAAGCAGTATATACCGAGCAAGAGGAACCGCTTTGGTATAAAATTTGTTTGTACTCTGTGATTGTGACAGTGGCCTGGTGTTGGATATTGTTGTATACACGGGTAGTAAAACATTGAAAGATACCAAGATGTTATTGGGTATATCAGGTGACGTAGTGAGAAACATGATGGCACCTTATCTTGGTAAGGGCCATACATTATATACCGATAACTGGTACACAAGCCCATTACTCAGTGATTTCATGCGAGTGAACAAGACAGATGTGTGTGGCACAGTGCGTTCTAATCGTAAACATATGCCCAGGCTCAACGCAGGTGTTCGTGGTGATGACGTGCAGGTGTTTACTGCCAATGACATCATGGCATTACGGTGGCATGACAAACGAGATGTCACATTGTTGACAACCATTCACCGTAATGAAATGCAAGACAGTGGCAAAGTTGATCGAGTGACTAATGAACGTATTCGAAAACCAGTGACAGTGATTGATTATACACAAAACATGCGCTTGGTTGACAAGTGTGACATGCAGATTGGTTTTGTTGACTGTGTTCGTAAGTTACAAGTGGTAAATGAAACTTTTCTTCCATCTCATGGACATTTCAATGCTGAATGCATATAATATGTACCAAATAAAGACTGGTAACAGACCACCGTATGGTGAATTTTGTTTGTCTGTTGTCAGACAACTCATAATGAAGTACCAGGTAACAACACCTGCAATACAACATGGTCCTCGAATTCATCACAATATACCCAAGCGTTTGAGGAGAGAAGGTGATCATTTCATAATACAGCTTCCTTCAACTCAAAAGAAATTTGCTCAGAAGAGATGCATTGTCTGTGCACAAACAAAACGACGGCAACAAAGACGCAAAGACACTCGGTTTATGTGTGAGGAATGTAAGGTGCCTCTGTGCATGGTGCCTTGTTTCAAGGAGTTCCACAAGCCCCAGCAGTTCTAAAACCATGTCCAGTGATTGTAAATATGTAAATATATGATAGAACATTAGTATTATACAATATTTGTGCATGTTTATTGTAATAAACAACAGTGGTAAACAATAATATGATAATAACTTTAGTGCAGTTAGTGTTCAATACAGTGAGTATATATATATCAATTATATACAGTATTGGTCTCTCAGGCCCCAAATGTTAGTAGGAATAGAAAAAAATTGGAAAAGAAAAGAAAAACAACTAAAACAACAAAATAATATAATACGCGTATGTGGAATTCGTCGATGTTGCCGCCACCACATCATTTTCTAAAAACTTCTTGGCACTGTATCTCGGTAAGTACTGATCAGATTCTATTTTTTTTTGTTTTATTACCTTCACAAAAATATGCTCTTTAATTCTGTAAGAAAAAAATAATTTTTTTTTTTTTCAAAATTTCTTGGACACTGGTGCGTGACTTCAGATTTTGGCCTTGGACCCTGAAAGGGTTAATCAAGGTCTCTGGGAATGTAACCCCCATGAATACATAAACTCTGTTGTATTAATAACTGTCACCACTATAATATTTCTCAGAGAATTTAAGTAAAGGAGATACAATTGGAGGAAAGGTAGAAGAAAGAAAGGTGTTTCACATTATATATTCTATCTAGCAGGAAGGCCACTACTTCATCCCACCTCTCTAGCTGCATGGTGTATCTGACACTCAGCACAATGTCTGGCTGCATATATAGGCCTAGAAAGTTTGACACGACGATGCCTCTTGTTACAATTAGTACAGCGTATGGTATTGGCTGCTTCATCCAGCTTCTCTTGAAGTCGGGTCAAAAGAGATGCCAATTCTCCCCACGCACCCTCTAACTGCACTTCTTCTGCAAGACGAGCATCATATTCATGTCGTCGTTCCTGGAAAGCATGAGAACTTCTGTATAACTAAAAAAAAAAGCCACCAATTATAAGTTTACCCTCCATAACCACATACAGTAAAACCCCAAAATTTGAAAGATTTGATTCCAGAATTAAATGGATAAAATTTTAGAGTTAGACTGTGTGTTATTATAACAATACATCTTGCCAGCCATGCTTTGTCTGAGAGGAGAGTTCAGCAGCTAAGATGCCATATTACCTAAACCATCACATTATGAAAGCAATGGACACTATTTCAAGTAATTCAACGCCTTTTTATAACTCTTCCTAATTTACATTTCCTTTCTAAATCACTTCCTTTACCTATATACCATCAATTCCAATTGCACTTCACAAGTTAAATATTTCTTAACTTTACAAAGTATAATAAAATGACAAAATACTCTTAAGAACAAAGCATATACCATACTTTCAGCAGACCTAACCTCAAACTATTGCTTCAAGTCATTAAACTATTTATTAAACATCAATCTAATCATCCATTTTTATAGTAAGTGTGAATATGGCTTATCATAATCAAATCAAGGCTCATGAAGGGTTTTTGATCCAAAGAATTGGAGCTACCCTTACTTCCTCGGATCAAACCTGATTACTTCCTGTTCCTTAGGCATTGTATGACTCCTACCATTTTATCATTTCCCTTATGAATATAATATTAACATATAAAAACTAAAATAAACATTTTAGCACACTTACTGGTTCCCCTATTATCTCAAAGGCATGAGCTAAGATCTTAAAGGCCTCTTCAGCCCCTGGCTGTTTATTTTTGTCAGGATGCACAAGAAATGCTTGTCGTTTATAGTACTTCTTGATGTCTTCATCTGTACATTCTTGAGCTACACCCAAAATGCTATACGGATCTTTTCCTTTACATGCCAAGAGACGTTTCATAGCCTCATCACCAGTAGTTGGTAATGATATGTTGCATTCTAGTCCTCTTGGAAGCTTTTTTTCTCGACCTATGGAGAGAATATTTAATTCACATACTGTATAAAAAATTACCCAATATCAATTCCATAATGAAACTGAAAGTTCTTTTATTTATATGGGTGAAGATTAGGATTTCAAAGTTCCAGCACAGAGGCTATAGGCAGCGGAGATGTGATGTTTGAGAGCAACGTGAGGAGTGAATTTTATGCAAAAAATTCGATCATGGAAAAGTATCATTCAAGAAAAGCGTTATTCAGGGCACAGAAAGAGGTTGAGGTGGTTTGGGCATTTAGAGAGGATGGAGGAGGTTGATATGACCAAGATGTATACATCTGGGATGAAAGTAGAGAACAGGAGTCATCCTAAGAGGCAGGGTGAGAAGCTTTCAAGTAGAAAGGGCTTCCTAGCAGGCAAATATGAACATATAAGATCTGGGTAAGTGGAGATATTGGTTTTGGGGAGTTGAAGTGCTGTGGGAAACATTTATATAGATATAGGGAAATTGATTATCATGATTTATCCTTGCAATGTCTCCCTGACTCCAGCATCACTCATATAGTTCTGTGTTTTAAGCAAAATGCCCTCAAATGTCCTGTGACTGGTAAATTTTGGCCTAGATATAAGAGAATGGATGTGTGCACGCACAGTATAAAAATCCTGCTACATATAGTACAAGATGGGAAAATTAAAGCTCTGACCTTGTGTTTGATTTAAAGCAGCAAAATTTGAGGCATTTTCTAGGGTAGTTTTTAGGGTTTTATTGGCCGATTCTTGGTGTTAATTGACCCAAATCAACTCTACTAGGAAGCAGAGACAATTTGGGTCATGACCGGAAGTTAACTTTCAATAGGGCTCAAAGTAGAGGAAATATTTAATTTTTGGTAATTTTCCAAAGGAAGGGTAGGGGGCCCTTCTTCACCCCTCTGATCTGTTTTATGGGTGTTTTACAAGGTCTGTTTCAATTGCTGCGATGGCCTAAACCACAACCAATCATTCTTGGATGCATTTTATCTGAGAAATAGGGCAAAACTTCAATTTTTTGTGTGATGAGTTAAAAATGGAGGCCAAGTGTTATACAGGAAAGGCCTGGGAATGTGATTAATGAACAGAGGATAGGTTGCTTTAGTGGCTGGAATAACTACAGTGTTTATTTTGGAATCGTTTTAAAATTGGAATTTCTTGAATTCTGTAAGACTAACCAAATTATCGACTTATGAGAAATTTATAGTGGAGTGAGTGAAGCAAATGCACTTTACCAGGTATCTTCTTTTCTTCCTTGTTACTCTTCCAGAAGGTCGAAAATCTGCTCCAGTAGTGACGAGCCGTGTTCTTGATAGTGACCCAGTACTCCAAGAATCTCACCCACATCAGCATAATAAGGTGAAGAAAAAGACGTGAACTCATGACCACCACATCTGTTGCAAGATTTCCAAGCCACACCACTGCCTGCACCACCAACCCAACCCACTGCACTGCCAATGCCCAACCCTGCGCTACAAGCTCTGCAGACAAAGATATTTTTACATTAATATTTTTACATTATGGACTGCTAATCAGTCCATCCTCTTATATGCCATTCTCAAAACTATGAATAGAACAGTTTTTATCTTGTGTATTTCTCATCTGTATGCTTCAGTGTCAAGACTGTTTTAACACACATTCCCAATCTAAATTTACTCTTTTCTTGTCTTCCCAATCACCCTATCAATTACAATACTATCATATATTTCACCTAGTATTCCAAAACTGTAACCCACATCCCTTCAGCCAATGTTCTTTCCTGAACATCGCCACCTCTTGTCCTGCCATTTCTCTCACCTTTGCTGTGTAATGCTGTATTACTCATAAAAGTTTAGCATTTTTCATGAACAAAGTATTTCTTAAGCACATTCTAGTTCTCCTTCCTTATTCATTACAAGGCAACACAAGCTCTGCCAATTTTTGGGCCATCTTCCCTCAATCATGCATACACTGATCATTTTTTTTTTTTTTTTTTTCAACAAGTCGGCCGTCTCCCACCGAGGCAGGGTGACCCAAAAAAGTATAATAAAAGTATATCTGTATTATCTGTTACACTCCATCCACTCTTGCTGCATATGACAGTTTTAAATGGCTTATTGCTTTATTCATTCCTGGCTCTTCATTCATTCCATTAGATCTCATTCCTTCTGAACTCTTATGTGAAATTTCTGATTCTATCATCTTCATGCAAGACTTTCTCAAAACACACACACACACACACACACACACACACACACACACACACACACACACACACACACACACACACACACACACACACACACACACACACACACACACACACACACACACACACACGGTTAACGACAGTAATCCGTTCCAGAGAGCTTATCTTTAACCGATTCTGTCGTTATCCGAATTAATTTTCCCCATAAGAAATAATGGAAATCCAATTAATCCGTTTCAGACACCCAAATTTTTTACATGAAATATACATTTCCCTACACAGAAAACAATGATACATGAAGAATAAAACAATAATAACATCACACTTACCTTTATTTAAGACATGGTGATGTATGGAAGATGGGAGGAGGGGAAAGGATGGAGGAGTTACAACTGTTTGGAATGGGAATCCAACTCCATAAAGACTTCAGGTACCAAGTCCTTATCCTGGGTTACTTCCCTCCTTTGTTTTTTAATGCCACCAGGACCAGCTTGAGAGCCACTGGACCCCTGTCGCTCAAAAAAATTTCCAGAGAGGTCTGTGTCCGGCATATGTTAAGAATTGTGTTGGGAGACACAAGATAGTCCTTCAATATGACACTAGTATCAGCTCTACGGCTAGGTAGTAGGTTGGTAAACAGCAACCGCCCAGGGAGGTACTGCCGTCCTGCCAAGCGAGTGTAAAACGGAAACCTGTAACTGTTTTACATGATGGTAGGATTGCTGGTGTCTTTTTTTTCTGTCTCATAAACATGCAAGATTTCAGGTAGGTCTTGCTATTTCTACTTACACTTAGGTCACACTACACATACAAGTACAAGCATATATATACACACCCCTCTGGGTTTTCTTCTATTTTCTTTCTAGTTCTTGTTCTTGTTTATTTCCTCTTATCTCCATGGGGAAGTGAAACAGAATTCTTCCTCTGTAAGCCATGCGTGTCATAAGAGGCAACTAAAATGCCGGGAGCAAGGGGTTAGTAACCCCTTCTCCTGTATTAACTACTAAATTTAAAAAGAGAAACTTTCATTTTTCTTTTTGGCCACCCTGCCTTGGTGGGATACAGCCAGTTTGTTGACAAGAAAAAACAATTCATCTAATATGACATAATAAACAATATTAATAACATAGAAACACGACTTATACTCTAGAACAAATAAAATACATCATTAGGTATGTCACGAGTATTGCTGTGTTGTTGTTGGGTGTATAAGGGCAAATGAGAGCATAGTGGTGCTGGAGGCGACAGCAGAGGTTGTAGAGATGGCAGTGTTGTCAGTTGCCCTACATAACTCCAACAACATTGGAGGAGTTAGGTTAGTGCTGTCCTTTTCCTATTGATTAATCGCTTAACTTACTTGCTACGGTTAATGCTACACTTTATCGCTGGCTGCCGCTATAGCCTTTATAGACTCCTGCTGCTTTAGTATCGTACATATTGCAGAATCACTGAAAAAGGCACATTCTCCCCTCTCTCTCAGCCCTTTACCAAAGGACTGGCTGACACTAGAAGCTTTCTTTGGGCCCATGGTGGCTTATTTAGCAGTTACAAGCACTAAAACCAATGGAATAATACAAAATGTATCACATGTATGTGTGGAATCGTCCTCACTGGCTTGTAAACAATGGCACACTCACTGTACATGGAGTGGTTGGGCCACGGGATGAATGACTTTAACCGAGTTCTTTGTCGTTAACTGAGCCAGTATTTTGATGCAAAAGTGTCGTTATCCGGTTTTTACATTATCCGATGACGTCGTTAACTGAGGGTCTACTGTACTCACCTAATTGTGGTTGCAGGGGTCAAGACTCAGCTCCTGGTCCTGCCTCTTCACTGATTGCTACTAGGTCCTCTCTCTCTGCTTCCTGAGCTTTGTCATACCTCGTCTTAAAACTATGTATGATTCCTGCCTCCACTACATCACTTGCTAGGCTATTTCACTTCCTGACGACTGAAGAAGTACTTCCTAACATCCCTGTGACTCGTCCGAGTCTTCAACTTCCAATTATGACCCCTTGTTTCTGTGTCCCCTCTCTGGAACATCCTGTCTGTCCACCTTGTCTATTCCACGCATTATTTTGTATGTTGTTATCATGTCTCCCCTGACTCTCCTGTCCTCCAGTGTCGTCTGTCCGATTTCCCTCAACCTTCCTTCATAGGACATTCCCCTGAGCTCTGGAACTAGCCTTGTTGCAAACCTTTGTACTTTCTCTAATTTCTTGAACTGCTTGACCAGGTGTGGGTTCCAAACTGGTGCTGCATACTCCAGTATGGGCCTGATGTAGTGTACAGTGTCTTGAACAATTCCTTACTAAGGTATCAGAATGCTATTCTCAGGTTTGCCAGGCGCCCATATGCTGCAGCAGTTATCTGGTTAATGTGTGTCTCCGGAGACATGCTCGGTGTTATGGTCACCCCAAGATCTTTCTCCTTGAGTGAGGTTTGCAGCCTTTGTCCACCTAGCCTATACTCTGTCTGTGGTCTTCTTTGCCCTTCCCCAATCTTCATGAGTATGCATTTGGCAGGGTTGAATCTGAGAAGCCAGTTGCTGGACCACGTGTCCAGCCTGTCCAGGTCACTTTGAAGTCCTGCCTGATCCTCATCCGATTTAATCCTTCTCATTAGCTTCACATCATCTGCGAACAGATATATCAAAAATAGCACTGGTCCTAGGACTGACCCCTGTGGGACCCCACTCATCACGGGCGCCCACTGTGATACCTCATCACGTACCATGACTCGTTGTTACCTCCCTGTCAGGTATTCTCTGGTCAATTGCAGTGCCCTTCCTGTTATACGCACCTGATCCTTCAGGTGCATATAACAGCTCTGTACCTCCCGTTCCTTTACGATTTGTCTAAAATAGGCCACAACATTGTCATTGTAATAGTCACCAGCACGGCTTGCAATAGCTGTGTTAGGGTGATTTTCATCCATAAAGGTTTGCACTTCAACCCACTTTGCACACATTTCCTTAATTTTTGAAGTAGGCACAATGGATTCCACAACTGGCATAGGCTTCTCAGGGTTAGCCCAAAACCCTTCAAGATCTTTCTTAATTTCCATACTAATTCTCACCCATTTTTACCACAGGGTTGGCACTAGAAGCTTTCTTGGGGCCCATGGTGACTTATTTTGCAGAAACAAGCACCAAAACCAGTGATAATATGGATAATATGGAATGTACCGAATGTATCCTTAGATGCGCGCACACTGGCTGGCTTGTAAACACTGGCACACAAGGGGCAGTTCAGGCCACACGTGGACACGTCTCGTATGAATCGTATCAAATACCAGGTTTTCAATCGGATACCGAGGCAAAATTTTTGCATTAAAATGCATCGAATACCGGATTTATCGAATACCGATGCCATCGAATACCGGGGGTCCACTGTAACTCTCATTCTTTCATTTGCCCATCCCCCCTTTTTTTCCTGCTATTGTTTCAACTTCTCTCCCTTCCTGTGTTGTCTACCTTCCTTGCAATACTTTTACATTATAAAAAACACTTTAGCCATTAAATACAAAAATTCACTTAAATTTTAAGAAAAACTAAGATGCATTATTCACATGATCATACCTGAACCAGACTGGTTAAGTGATGTATACTTTCGTTTCCTGGGAGGGCGCTTGGACTGAGGCTCTCTGTTGCGATCTGTTCTATCACTCCGACCATTGGTTGCAGGTTTGCTTCGTCCAACTGGTCGGCCTCCAAAATTAATACTGCCACTTACATTATCTTCAAAAATGAAAAATGGATGCAATTGTATTTATAAAAATTATATTCTGAAAAAGTGGCTGATAAAAATATCCACAATAAAATAAACAAATATTTAATGATAATACTGCCTAATTTTGTGGTATTTGAAGTGTTTTCTTAACACCCGAGCCATCTCTCACTGAAGTAGATGAGCAGACAAAAACACTTTCACTGTCACTCAATCACTGTCTTGCCAGAAACACACTGATAAAACAGTTCAAATGACCCCACCAAACCACAACATCCTTCACCTGTCCTTCAGAGTGTTAGACACTGCACTTCCCAACTCCAGGACTCAAGTCAGGCTAACTCGTTTTTCCCGAATATTTTCATTAATGTTATGCTGCTGACATTCCAGCATCATAACATTAATTTAGTTGATGAGTGGAACAGTCTACCTAGTTGGGTTATTGAGGCTAGGACTTTGAGTAGTTTCAAATTTAGGTTGGATAAGTACACGAGTGGGAGGGGTTGGATTTGAGTGGGACTTGCACATCGGAGCTTGTTTCTTGGGAGGCATTGAAAATTGGGTTGGTCAAATGTTTGTTAGTGGGATGAATTGTAAAGGACCTGCCTAGTATGGGCCAACAGGCCTGTTGCAGTGTTCCTCCTTTCTTATGTTCTTATGTTCTTATGTATATCAATAATAAAAACCACTTTCTTCCACTCACTCAAGCCTTTTGGATGTCCAAGCAACTAGAATTCAAAATCTCCTTTCCTAGAATGACCCCCCTATTCTTCCTTCCCTCCACTCCAAATTTATATGCTCTCATTGTCAGCTTATTTTTTCTCTATCCTCTTCAAATGTTCAATGAATAATACTTTTGGTAACTCCACACCTCTTCCTAGTCTCCAAACTTGGAATTTTATGCATAATATTCACACCACACTGCCTTCAAACATGATATCTCCACTGCCTCCAGCCTTCTCACTGTAACATTCAAAATCCATGCTTCACACCCATACAACAGTGTTAGTACCACTATATTCATAAGAACATAAGAAAGAGAGCACTGCAGCAGGCCTACTAGCCCATGCTAGGCAGGTCCAAGCCACCTACTAGCCCAAGGTACTGGCCAAAGGATGACGCACTGCATCAGACCCACTAGCACAAATCAGTCAGGTCCAGCTTACACCCACTCAGGTATTTGTCTAACCTATTTTTAAAACTACAGAACATTTTACCTTCAATGACAGTACTCGGGAGTTTGTTCCACTAATCTGCAACTCTATTACCAAACCAGTGCTTCCTATATCCTTTCTGAACCTAAATTTTTCCAGCTTGAAACCAATGCTGAGAGTCCTGTTTTCGTTAGATACTTTTAGCATGTTAAATAAAAGAACACAAATGTCACATTTGTGTCCTTTTACTTAACATATTGTCAGTGACTCTACCAATATTAATACATTTTAGCATGTTATTTACATCACCTACTCTGGTACATTCTCCTTTTTGCCTCCATGGATAAAATTCTATATCTCCACAGATGCCTCAATGCACTACCCACCTTGTTCCGCTTTGCCAATTTCATGGTTCACCTTGCTTCTCATAGAACCATTCACCAACTCTACTCACACATATCTTTTACAGCTGTATCAATGTTTTCATATATTTCACTAAGATTTATTCTTCAGTCACACTAAATAAATGTAGATACTAAACAAATATAAATGCCATTTACTGGCTCCCTCAATGCCCTGGACACATTAATTTTTTTTATACTGTGCACATCTACAGAGTACATCTGTCTTCTCTGATGATGTCCTAACCAGGCCAATCGGGACTATTTTGGAGGCCCTAGAGTTCTGGTATGAATTTACATCAATGGTACTTTCCCAGTTGGCTTAAATCCCTTTCATGTGCCTTAAATATTCTAAGGAGAGGGGGTACAGACACAGGTCATCCCAGTCACTAAAAACAACAGATATAGCCCCACTCCACAAAGGTGGCAGTAAAGCAATTGCAAAGAATTACAAACCAATAGCACTAACATTCCACATCATAAAAACCTTTGAAAGGGTTCTAAGAAGCAAGATTGCCAACCACTTGAATACCCAACAATTGCACAACCCAGAGCAGCATGGGTTTAGAGCAGGTCACTCCTGCCTCTCACAACTACTGGATCACTTTGACATGGTCTTGGATGCACTGGAGGACAAACAAATTGCAGATGCAGTATACACAGACTTTGTAAAAGCATTTGACAAGTTCAACAATGGTGTTATAGCACAAAATGCATGATAAAGGAATAACAGGAAAAAAAGGGTAGATCCTTGCAACTTCCTAATAAAAAGAACAGAGTAGTAGTATACAGCGTAAAGTCAGAGGCAGCTACAGTGAAAAGCTCTGCTCCACAAGGTACAGTACTCGCTCCCATCCTTTTCCTCATTTTCATATCTGACATAGCTTTGTGTCCTCCTTTACTGATACCAAAATTTGCATGACAGTGTCATCCACTGAGGACACTGCAAATCTCCAAGCAGACATTAAGTCTTTAAATGGGTCTCACAAAACAATACAAAATTCAATGAAGACAAATTTCAATTACTCCACTATGAAAAACTCGAGGAAATAAAAATTGGATTGGAGTATAAAATAAATTCCAACACACAATAGAGCAAAAAACTAATGAGAAGGTTATAGGATTGATAATATCAGAGAATCTCACTTTCCAAGATCACAACAATGTGTCTACCAATTTCATGTAGTGTATATTGTTGACTTAGTATTATGTACAGTTGATTGCAGGTCAATTATTAAGACTGTCATCAACCTAGACTATGACAAAAACACCCACCCACCTTGCCCTGTCTGCTGTGATCTGCCTGCCTGCCTTAAACGGAGTGATGGTGTATGGTGTGTCAAGAGTGGGAGTTATTCCGGGTACTTTATACAACAAGTGTCAAGCCCATCTTGAAACCCATACCTGGGGAAGCATGTTAAACTGGAAAAGTGCAGAAGTATGGAAGACACTAGTTCCAGAGCTAGGGGATACAAGCTATAGAGTAAAGGAATTGAATTTAACAACTGTGTAGACAAAACAGCCAGGCAAGACATAACATACAAAATACTCAGAGGAATTAATAGGCCAGACAGGGACAAGCTGCTCAAACCTTTCAGGGTCCAGACCCCCAATCTGAAACTTGTCCACAGGGTCCAAGAATTAAAAAAAAAAAAAAAAAAGTTATTTTTTCTTATGAAATGGTAGAATCTTTTTCTGATGATAATAAAACAAAAAGTACAAAATTTGATGGAAAACTGACGAAATTACGCTCTCGCGAATTTTGCTGCATCAGCGATATTTACGCACTGGCGATTCTGCCCACTTTGACTCCCATTTTAGGCCAATTACATCATTCCAGTCAACCAAATTCTTAGATATTTTGCTAGTATTACTTCTATTTTATCAACTGAGCACAAGAAATCGCCCAGTCAACTGTTTCAACTACCCAATAAAGTGACTGGAAATTGGTAATTTGGTTAATTTCACACAAAGTTCAAAATATTCCAATTTCAAAATAGGATCCAGAATAAACAATGCAGATATTCCTGGCATTAAAATAACATTTCCTCTGTTTATTAGTTACATTCCCAGGCTTTACAAATGAATTCCATTTTGATTTTTTATTCACATAATGAATTTTTATTTACACCAAATAATAGATTTACTGCTATGCAATATTGTAATAATTGTATAAATAATATCAGCGCATTCGTGAAAGCACATTAGACCCACCAGCTAACAAGTATTGGACATGTGGCATCATTTGTTTACTCTTGAACACCTGCAAAAATCGAATATTTCCGCTACTTTGAGCACAATTTCAAGCTATCTTCAGTACTAAAACCAATCAAAATCATCACTATTTCTGTAATATATCTTCAATTTTATCAAATGAGACCAAGAAACTGCGAATACAACTGTAAAAAACATACAAAAAAAACACCGCAAAGTCAGAGTTTTTTTCTCATTATGCACTGGGTGCTGCAGGATTTATGTGGTGCACACTTATCACATAAATATACTCTCTCATATCTAGGCCCAAGTTTACTGCTCACAGCTTATCTAAGTGAGTCGAGTTCACGGTGTAGAACAACAGTTTGGACCCAGGTTTCAAAGCCGTAGAACTACGAGACGGACCCTCAAAGGGTTAAGAGGCGGGAAACAGGTACTCAGGGACACAGTTGAAAGTTAAAGTCACAGATGAGCCACAGGTATGTCAGGAAGTATTACTTCAGTCTCAGGGTGGTTTGGAAGTGGAATGACCTCAATGAAGAAGTGGAGGAGGCAGACTCTATATAGTTTTGAGAACAGGTATGATAGGACCCACAAGGCTAGGAGTGTGTGAATCTGGCAAGGAGGAAGCTAAGACACAGAGTCAAGAACTGAAATTCAACACATGTAGGTGACTACACATTATATAATAAAATCTTCAAATACAGTCATTAGTTTATAGAATATTACAATTGCATAAAAATACACTACAATTAACATATTAATAACACCACATAACAGCTGCCACAAACACTTCAACACCTCAGTGCAACCTTGCACCACAAACATTCTCATTACTTCCCGTCACTTTTCTAACTATTCAAGAAACAATTGAGTTGTGATACAGAGTAAGATCAATTGGAGTACAGTACTGTAGAGGAATGTTACATTGTAACTGGAACACTGGAGTCTCACTACTGCACTCAACATCTGAGCACCCACAAGGTAGACATTATACTGAATTAAAAAACAACAGATCCCCAGGTATAGGGAGAGGGACTAAAGATAGATAAGTGGGAAGGAGGGTAGAGGAGTGGGACTGAGAGTGGAGAAGTGGGGAGGAGGGTAATCAGAGCAAGAGAAAGGAAGAATGATGATGAAGATAAGGAGGAAATAAGAAGAGGTATGAAACAGAAAAACCAAAGTTGTGTGTGACTGTGTGTATATGGTCACAGTTTGAGGAATGTATTGGAGTGTAGATAA